TGTCTGACTCCACACTGAGGAGTGCCTGCCATCCACCGCTGCTTTCCTCTGCCTCCATCTCTCTGAATGCCTCCCTGTCTTTTTCTGTCTCCTGCTCCCACTCCATCTCCTTTTCTCATTCCCCTTGTCTTTCCAGAGTTACAGTTTTATGAGCAAAAAATGGTGTGACTTCCTGGAGGAGTTGAGGTATAATAGGCAGCGCATTCTCTTTTCCTTCCAGCCTTTCCTAATATTTACTTCTACTCCACCTGCGTTGCGCGTGGCTCTTAATGAGGGCAGATGTCAAGGCACAGTGTTGCGAGCAAAGTTGTTTTGAGATGCAAAATCAAGGAGAAAATAGAACAAATAAAGACTCGCTCTAAAAAGGATACAGTGTTCAAATAACGTGACAATTCTGACTGGAAATAAACCAGATTTTATTTACACTAACGAACAATACGCTGCTGTCACACACAGCAGAGAAAAGTAAATATTAAACTAGTATTAGTAGATCCTTGTGACCTCAATAACTAAGCTCTGTGAGAATGATTCAAATCACCATGTGGTGAGAGCGGACTTATCATAGTCAGCTATCGTGCCACAGGAGGCGTGTATGTAAGTGTGAAGTATCTTCAGGCCATTAAGGTCTTCTCTTCCGTAATGGTTTGGTGGATCCATTGGGTGAATCAATGTAATGGTCTGAAGCATGGGATAAAGAGGATGGTGCTCCAGTGTGACGAGGCCTAATTGCCCGTCATCCTGTGGTAGAAAGAGACATCACCGTGTTCCATATGTATCCTCTCCGACAGCCAGCACTGAAATTAACACCTTCAAAACATCTGGTAATGGCTTTTCTGGGCCAAGAGAACGGCAAGGAAAGATTTCTTTTGGGATGTGTTGCTGCTTGTTAATCTCGGTGCCCATCATCTATTCATGCAAGCAGGCACACGCAAGAATACGACTCGCTGCTATGACATGCGTGCACATGTATCTAGCAGCCATCTCTCGGTCCTCTGCTTGACCAAAGCCCAGTGTGAGGACAGATGTAACCTCCAAATTGTCCCAGGTATCCAAACAAGCGTGAGATGGAGAGGTCATCTCATTGTGATGCAAACGGAGAAGCAGAAAAATAGCATGAGTCTTTCTTAATAATACATTTGAATGCACAAATAAAAGGAGCATCATCCTCATATATTCAGCAAATATTCAAAAACATAAAAGGGTCCTCTTGTTTGCTCAGAGAGCAAGGGAGCACGTTACACCATGACATACAGGTCAGCCAACGGTGCTGGAGAGTCAGCATTCACGGGTCAGAGTGCTACATGATAAGAAAGGAGGTCGGGGACCTTACTGGTGCTGTGCCTCCTTTAATCGCTGTTCTTAAGGACGCTCTGACTGCTTAGCAGGTACCGGTCAAGGTTGGGGCTAGGCTAAGAAGCAGCTGATCCGGGATCTGTTTGCAAAGCAGCATGTAACCGCACAACAGTCAGTGACCCTGAGTGGTGAAATACAACATGTAAAGAACACTGTGTTTGTTTATTCGCTATAGACAGGGATACGGGTTGTGGTTGTGGTGTAAAAGCGTCGAAGGGTAAGCACGCTGAACCCGTCAGATGAAGCAAGGCCAGTTCATTAGGAAGTCTGTACTCAAGTGTGGGCTTTTTTTTTTCCTGTTTTCTCTCATTCTCTCTCACCGTCTCTGTTTCTCTCTCTCAACCTTCAGAGTGAGTTCAGCAGAGATTCCTTTGGCATTACCCTCACCCCAGACTGCTGGAAAACCGCAGCGCTCCGGATGCTGACCCTTGCTCAGCTCAGCACAATGCTTTAATTTGGTGTGTTGTTTAAAGTAATTAGAAAGCCTTTCCCCCTGTTTTCTTTTCTATTCTTTTCAGTGTCTCTGCCAAGTGCAAGAGGGAAACAGTGAGTCGTCCATGACTTCAGCTTGATAAAGATTCGGAAGAGGAATCCACGAGACCCCCCTCACCCTCCTCCTCACCCCCACCCCCTGCACCGGGGGAAAACTGTCTGAAAACAAACAGGGACAGGACTCGAGGGATACTTGTGTCTAAATGTGCGTATTCGAGTGTATGTGTGTGTTTGTCTATGTGTACAGCATTTCAGCAAAATAACAAATGCTTCTATCGTACCTTACTTTTGCTTTTAGTCTTATTTGAGACGAGATATTAATATCAGGAGTGGACGAGGCACAGAGCTGATAATGAAGCAAGGAGAGACGGTCCTGCGCGTGCACTAACCCGAAGGCAGTGAGACAGCAACAGAGACACAAGCGGGGCAGTGATTGCCAGAGAATTTTCTTTGTGTCACCTGTGCACAGCTGCCACAGCAGCAAGAAAGAGGCATTAATAGAGCCAATCTTTGACAATTTCAACTTTCATCAGATGCATCACTGCAAAGACTCACTCGCACAGCAGATTCAAACACACACAGACGACTTTTATCTGTATCTGCACACACAGATTAACGTTCTACACTCGTGTTCGTACCATGCAAACACACACCTGGAATGAATTGTGTAAATGTATATGAGTGTACACTGCAGTCCTTCATATTTATTTGTTATAACCTAGGAATAAAGGGAATATACTAATTGAAATCAGACATACACACACAATATTTAGTATTCATGCATTACGGATGCACCTGCATACAAACCTAGAGCACATTTACCTTAGTGCTATCCCACGATCTTTTAGTGCGCCTCTAACTATCTCACCACCAGCCTCCTCAAAAACTCCTTAAGCCAGCGCCATCATCGACACTCCTACCCACACATATCAAGACTGTCAAACTGTAAGAGTTACACTACACACTCAGTTAAAGCTATTGCCAAATGCTGCTCATATTAGACAGTAAAGACATTTAACTGAAGAAGGTCAGATACCAAAGTTAAAGGCGGTGCTCTCGTGTCTTAAAACACCCCGTTCTTGATGATCCTGATAATCCTTCGAATTCAACCAAACACTCTCCAGTCTCAACGACACTCTGAAGACAGCGATATTAAAGCAAGCTTCAGAGGCAAAACCACTCCCTGGTCTGGTCTAACCCTTGGCATATAAATCCAGTAGAGTAGTTACATGACAAGCCTGAAGACATTAAACTCAAATGAAAATGGTTCTTAGTTGGTGGGAAATATTTTAAGGCGCCCTGCTTTCATCCCAACAAGCCCAGCTGAAGTCAGTCAAATTATGTGGTCTGCATTTATGCTGTAAATACAGAAGATCCCGATCAAGTGTGGAAATGCTACTTTGAAAATGAAGCAGATAGATCCTAAATTGTATCTGCTGGACAGGTTTCTTGACCAGGTAAATCTCCAAAAGGAGATTTTTGGAGAGGATATAATAACAACAATAATAAAATACTAAGACAGCACCAGATGTTAAAACACTGAGTTTTAACATCTGACATTTTTTGTCTTTGCTCGTAAGACCTTTAAGTAGAACTGGGCAGACCATTGTTGTTATACTTAAAGGCGCTTGCCATATGAGAATCAACAGTATGAACATGTCTTAAGGTTTCAACCAAGTCCTGAGGTACTTGAGACACAATAGTCCCTTTCAAGAGAGAAAAGCAATTCCACATGAAGTGGGAGTTACATGCACTTATTGGAATGTGAATTGAGTGCCACATTACGGGGATATGCAACCATTGTTGCCTCATTTTACTTAGGAAGTACACAGAAAAAAATATCATTAGGTCTGGATAAATACAAGCAGCAGGTAGAGAGACACATAATCACGCCAGGTTTTGTCTTAAGGCATGTGTGGCTATTCTTTTTTTTTTTTTTTGCAAGCAATGTCGCCATCTACAGGTGAGAAAAGTGTCTCTAAAATTAAAGTCTGTGTTCTTCGCAAATGATTTATGTTGTCTGTGAACTTACCTACAATAGTAAACCTTTAATTCTTCGCTTGAGCGCATGCAGTGAAAATATGATTTTTAAACATGAACCAAAAACTGGAGTATAAGTGCCAGTTTATTGTCAAGAAACACAAGGATCATTTTGCTAATTTTAATGCCATGTTTTTAAATGAACAAATATGGAAATGGAAGCTTATGAATAGAGAAGATTAGCTCTTGAGACGAAACAATAAATCTGCGCTATATGCTATGTAGAGTTCACATTTAATTCTGTAATATTGCAATGACACACAGCTATTAGATTTGGTTCATTATGATGACTGAATTTAATACCTCTTCCAAATCCAATCCAATCTAACCCATAGAATCCCTATGAAGAGATAAATATACACATATAGAAGGCAAAAGACTGCAAGGAAATCGGAAGTCTGTTAACTGGTTATTTCCAAGTGAGAAAAAGGCACTTATTAAAATTAATCACTTCATTGTTCACGCTCATGCCATAGTCCAGCTCGCTCTCTCGTTTTCACTCTCTACTCTCCAAATGTGCCTGGCCATGATTAAAACATGTCTGTTTCTCCATGACATTGCTTTGACATCACTTAATTGGTATAAGAGATAAAAAATAAATGAATTAAATAAATATACTACCAGGTAAGTGGCGTAACATTGCTCAAGGTGACAGCCTATTATTTCTCCCTTTTCTTTGCCTCAAAGAAGGCAAAGTGAGAAATGTGAGATTGCACTGAGAATGCAGCACCTCATGCGGCAGACGGAGATTTTTATTAAGAAAAAGAAGAAAAAAAATCGGCAGAGAGTTTTCACATGTGAAATTCAAAATCTGTTCAAAGTTTGCGGTGTGCAGTTCAATCTGAGAGTATATTCTACAATTCTACAGGAAACTGCAACCTTCTATTTCTCACTTATCTGTACATCAATGCTCATCAGCAGTCAAAATGTCACGTCCCAAATATCTACTGTTTTTAATATGTCTGGAAATGTATCATCGCATGATTAATGCAGTAAATCAATGTCCCAACAAAACAGCTGTGGTTGAATTTAACCTGCATTGTATGTGGAAATGGGCTTTTACAGTGAAAGGAAAGAAAGGCGGAGGGATATCAAGAAGCGATGGGGTTACTCACCACATCTTGCCTGGTGTCCTTCCCCGACGCAATGAGCATGTAGGTCCAGGCCAAGGGGAGAAGCAACGCCAGAGGAATCATGTAGAGCTCAAAGTTCCAAACGATGACGACAAAAAGCTGTTGAAAGACACAACGTGAAAACTGCTCGTGAAGGAAAAGCAAAAAGAAATCCGAGAGATCAACGCGGGCTAAAAATGTATATATTCAAGACGCCATACGGGCGTTCATGAGACAAACTCCTGAGAATCTAAGCTGGCCACATGTGCCATATGTGTGACTCAAAAAACAACACACATTCATATGCAGAATCATAAACTCCATGCAGTAAAAACTATTAAATGAGTCTTTGCTTTAACAAAGAAGTAGGCCTGGTGTCAGCGAGCTGAGGGTGAAGCCGCCATGACCCCTTAAGGGTTCATTTTTCTGGGTCTCAAAGTTGAGGAGGAGGAGGATGGTGAGGAGGATAAATATGAGCCGTCAGAGCCTCTATCGTCCATGCCAATCATCTCAGAGTCTGAGGTCATGTACCGTTTCAGCCGCAGCACGTCAAAGCTGACCCTTCTATACTCAACCCCAAACTCCAGCAGATGACCCCCGCACACCCCACAACCCGAGTCCCTAACCCTGTCACTCCAAGACCCAATACCCTCTCACTTGGCCCAAAAGAGTCGTTCGCCCCATCTCTAACCTCCTCTGCACCCATCTGCCAAAACCATAACCTCTATACCTCCCCTCTCATCACCAAACAAGAAAAGTACCATCTGAAAATTAACCTTTCCTAAAACCTTGTATTCTGGTTTTGGCAGGACTCTTTAGCCTCTGACAACAGATTACTGCGGTGGTTGGGAAGATACGTGTGGGAAAGTAAAATTGCTAATCATGGAAGGCTGATGTTTTCTGGCAGCATTGTGTAGATTGTGAGAAAGCATTGTCGAATGTAAATGAAAGGTTGAGACGGGGCGTTTTTCAGGAAACAAAATCTGTCAGAAATAAATAGAGCGAAAGCATATTTATCTTATCGAATAATATCATGTTCAAGTATACAGAGATTTGTCGCGACTGATAATAATAATAATAAAAAAAACTGCAGCAATTATAACAAATGCCGAAAATGCAAACCATGCCTAATGCTTAATCTTTCGCTGTGAAACATATTCACTGAATTCAAGTATGAGTAATCCATTATTTCAAATATGGGCACAGCAGATTTGAAATTAATTAGTCTGTGTATGGAAAGACAACCTTATTTAACAATCAGTGTTGATGAGAAACTTTTAAAAGTGATGAAATTGAGATTATTACTGTATAAAGCTCATATGATGTCTGTCTACCAATTCTGATTTATCCTGTTTGGTTGTGCAAACACCAGCAAGAGTGAGCGCAGGCTCAATTATCAACAACGACACTGCTTAATTTCTGCCTTTGTATGTGTGTAATACAAGGTTAATGTGAACGAGAGGTTCAAGATCTCAGCACCATAGTGCATTCCAGGCTGTTGTTATTGTAGTAAAGCCAGTCAAACATACACACACTCGACTGCTACGTCACAACGGACAAAAACACATGCGTGTGAGTATCGCTGGAAAAAAGCCCCTCGCAATAAAACCATGTTTACAAATTAAATTTTTATCCTCAACTTTTCCAACTTTGTGGAAAAGTTCGAAAGGCTCGTATCCAAACTTTAGAGCGGAATTATAACTCCATGTAAAATTAACTAACAGACGCTGAATCCACAAAGCAAAAAAAAAAGGAAGAAAAAAAATAAGACATAAATTAAACATTAGAAATGTCCAGTACATTTGCATAATGCTCAGAGCAAAATTTCTTCTTCAAATAAAACCTGAATGGCCTTGGTGAAACAGGCAAATCTCCCCAAAGGATCGCAGTCTTTCTCCGTCTCTCTCAGGCTCGACTTACTTTGTTACATACGCAGAGTCTCTCTCTGATACAGCTGTGTAGGAGAACTGGAAAGAAACTCTTTAATAATTCATATTTGTATACTAATAAGCAACACAACAATTTCCCTTCACTCATCAGAAAACGCTGTTAGGATTGTGAAAAAGGTCGACAGCAGAAACTTGCGTACAGACAAACACAATAACACACCATTGCGCACGTTTTCCCTACAAAATATAACTATTCTAAAATTATCCATCTGCTCCAAATTACTGTAATTTACAAATCTGTATGATCTGCAACGGAGATAAACACTCCGAGAATTTCTAACTGCAAAAATGTGCAACAGAGGTGCAGAAAGTTGACTTCAATTGAGCAAACAGAGCAGCACATTTCTTTGAAACTATTCTAGTAGAAGCTATTAATAACTGCATACTTATAAACGTCTTCACACGCTCTGATCTATATTCTACTATAAATACCACTTACAGTAGGAATACAGAACAATGCATTTTAAAAATCTTTGCTGTGTGGTAGTCTTTTCACTCACATTGTCATCACACAGCAGAAAATTAACTTGTACTTTACTGTCCGAATGTTTGTACTTAAGCATTGAAATCTTCTTTTTCAAAAAAATAAATAAATTCCTGCTCTTTTCTCTATTTGTCAGAGGCTATTTAACCTGTCATCTGCCTTTATTCCTCTTCCAGGTGGTTAAGGTGGCCGAGGGTGAAGTTTTGACTGGCAGCTAGAGAAACCGGACACCCCGGCTCAGCAGCGGCCGGCCCTGCACCGTCTATGTGCCCACCGGCCGGGCAGCAATGGGGCCCTGCAGTGCCTGGACCTTTCCACCGGGACTGGGCGATCACAGTCACCCCCCGTCGCTCGCTGCTTTTCGCCTGGAGAATAGGGAGTGGGAAGAAGCCTGCTGTGGATGTCAGTGACCAGAAAATAGCAGAGGAGGGAAAAAAAAGGGGAAAAAAAGGACCAAAACATGTTGGATCGAAAGGGGAAAAAAGCTAGATGAAGCTCCAGATGTGGTCTACGGGAATAATTTGTAAATGACCCTTTGTGGCCACAGATACATTATGTAGCGGCCGGTGATGGTTCACAGTGAATATCTGAACACTACACACGAGGAATGCTCATCCCGTTCTTGCTTTGTTTATTAATGCTGCATTCATGGTAATGTAATTTTTTTTAAAAAATATATGAACACAGTCTTTCTTTGCTTATGTTTTTCTGTATTATTCATATTAGGAACGCTCTCTGATTTCGTTTAGCGAGTATGTAAATAAATACATTACATCTATTTGTTATAAAAAGTGAGTTGGACCCTGTTTTTACTTCTCCTGTAACAAATATTTTCTGTAATTATCAAACCTACTGAAATAAGTGGACATCTTTTTTTTTTCTTATGTGATGGATATTTGATTGTGTCACCAAAACTACTGTCGGCAGTGACAACTTGAAAACAATTGAAAATTAAGAATTTACTTTTAGACGACAAATCCGTTTAGTCAAAACAAAAGTCCGTCTCTTCTTCTAATCATTATTTGTGCTTCAGTGATCTTCAGTGAAATGCGATAAATTTCCAGGAACAAAACTATTCACCTGTCACAAAACAAAGTGAAATCAGGACTTCCACTGTCAAATCTGCTAAACCAGCTTAGATATAGTTAAAGGCTAAATTTGAAATGGGCTAACTTCACGTCTGAGCATGAGCTGATACTGAAATGAGATGCGTAATTAAAAAAGACAATTACAAAACTAACAAAGCAAAAATCACGCCAGTATTATTTGTAACATTTTGGCTAAAATGAAAATAAAACACTAAACAGAACTTAAATTATTTTTGACACATCTGTGTAGTTAAGATTTCATTCCAGCTGTAATGTTTAAAGCTTTCTATTAATATTAAAATATTCAAGCACGATAAGCTATATTAAAAAATGTTAACAAAAGAGATAGTCAAAATGATTTATTCAAGCACTTAGTGCGGCACATTGAGAGTTGCTTTATTTGTTTCAAAACACAACCCGCGTCCTTGCGGCTCTTTGCCGCAGCACTGTGGGAGGGTAATATTCAGTGCTTTGGCTTACATTAACCACACACCAGGCTAACTTCCCCCTGCTCTGTCTCAGTGGAGTGAAACTGAAGTTTGGATTTCAGAGTTCCCCTTTATCTCTCTTACATCAATTTCCATGCTGGCACTAAGTGTTGCCAGATAGCAACTAGAAGTCCTGTTAAGTTCGAGGGAACAAGAGGGAGGGAGACTGTGTCCTGTTTCTGACCAGACCCACAACAACATTCGGTGGTGCTAGACTGCCCCCTGCTGTTCTCATGCAGAACATTGATCCACAGCACAATTAATGCTGTTCATTCGAAATAAAAAAGGAAGCTCAAAATCACTAAAACTATTGTGTCAAAGGCAGTCATTTTGCAACATCACAGTTACAACAATACAATAAAGCCTGTGACATTTGTGATCACAATGCTACAACTTCCCACGGGTACCAATTAGAAATAAGGGTGCTGTATCGCGACTTCATATCAAAAGGCCTCACATTTTCTGTTGAGTCTCCATCTCTGGTGATTAAACTCTGACTTGGTATTCTCTGTTAGTCGTGCCACTACATTTCAACTATCATTCATTTTGGAAATGAGGAGAACAGTGAAACGTGAAAGCATATCTTTCAAAGCTGTCCCTTGCTGTGGGCAAAGACGAACTCCCTAACTTTAAAACTTTTAAAAGTTAGACAGGTTCTTTGAAGGGGAGTCAAAGGAGCAATTTAAAGAGACCTGGAGTGGTGTGTACTGCTGACTACTATAGTGTCTTCGCACTGTGTATCAAACCACCAGCCAGACATGTGCAAACACACACACATATACACTCCAATAGTTGCTTCTGTACCTGCCTTTGCTTCCCCCCCTTTTTTATTTCAGCAGGGTGAATTTTTATCTAAATGCAAAGCAGGTGATAGGTGCTCCAGTTTCCTCTAGAAGTAGCTCCCTTGTCTGGGCTCTCTTCCTGATAAGAGTCCTACTTTGCCTGACATAAAAGAGCCTGGTATCATTTCCCCTGCCTCCCCAACAACCCCCAGCTCGCTGCCCTCGCCCTTCCCCGAGCTTCACAAAGCTGCCTCTATTTGCTCCCAATTCAGGGCCCAATTGCAGATAAAGTTACAGCAAATTTGTTTGGAGGAAGAGCTGCTGAGGCCTGCGGTCCCTGGGGCAATAACAGCCTTGTCTTGCAGGGGCCGTGGGGAGAGCTGGCAGCAGCAGGAGAACAGAACCCTACACCGCTCAGCCCGACAATGGCCTCAACTCTCCGGGAGGGAAAAGCCGAGGGGAGGGAGAGATAAAGAAGAACAGGGATGCATGGAAGGATAGAACGGAGAGACACTCAGCTTGCAGGTGTGGAGAGAGGAAGCAGACGCTTAACCCTGAGACGGGGAATGGAGACACCACCCACAGACACACACACACACACACACGCACACACAAATACACAGACACCACCCATCATGCAGGACAGGAGGTAACTCCAGTCCCGTCCATTGTGCCAACGCCTCAGGCAAAGCTGCCACGGTGGCTGATTCACTGTCGGGATGGGTGGGTGACAACAGTGTGGGTGTGAGAGAGAAAAGAGTGAAAAGCTGCATGTGAGACTATGCAATATCTCTATTTCTCACACATACACACTAGACACACAATACACATGCACACACTAAACACAGCTGGCACTAATGGATGATGTGTACATGCGGCTGGTATTTCAGAATTGGGCAGAAGGAGAGTAAGAGACCATGAAGAAAATTTTGATCGTTTTTGTGGAAGAAGTGTCGAGCAGTGACACAGTCTGACAACTGCAATGATGTACTCTTGCGTTCACAAAATACATACGAGCACGCTTAAATTTGCTCCCCCCCGGGCTCACTTAGCAGTTAAGGAGTGCGCACGTTGGTAAGTTTCTCACCTCTCTAGCTATGGCCATGTTTGGAAAGTTAAGTCTAACATCTGGATTTAAAAAAAAAAAAAGACAACCAGACAGAAACACACGTGCACACGTATGCAGACACACATGCCCATAATCACACACAGCAGTACACCTTCATGAATGCACCACCTTGGCCAGATGGCCCCCCATAAAAACCCACTTAAAGAGATGAGTGAAGTGATTAAGAGGCCCCTCAAAGTAAGGGAGAAATGAGACAGGGATGAAGAAATGGAGGGGAGGGAGGGAATACCTGTGTAGAGGAGAGGCCCTAAATACTCTGATGCTTTTAGCTAAGTGCTCACTCCTACGTTAACAGACTCCCAAAAGAGCCGGGGATAGGTGGGTGGACTACAATGACACCTAAATTTCTGAATTTCTCTAAACTATAAAACACTGTGTCCTTGGCCCAGATAGATCGTTCCTCGTCTCCTGAATCCAATCAGAATTTGAAAAGTAGGAACTGTTAGAAATGGATATACTACACACTGTGTTAAAAAAAATAAACTTGGGAGGATCTATACAAGGCACATACATCTGTTTGGATGTGCTGACACAGAGGCTGTGCTGTCCAAGGCTATATTTTCTCCTCTCCCCATGTAGATTGGTATTTCTAAAATGACCTTGTTTTGGGTGAATTCCTTGACATTTTATTTGTCTGACACATTCATTTATTTATAAAAAGATAAGACCCAAGGACTCCCGCCTAGCTCAGTCTTACATGAGAGAAAATACATGCACACGCCGACTCTTGCACACAAATGTGCTCACTCACACAAAGAGGAAAATGTTAACTGATCAATACCGTGTCTCTTCTGACCCGTGTCTTGTGATGACACTGTGACCCGCTGTGCAAACACACACATGCGCGCACACACGTACACCCTCTGGAGAGATTAAACTGATGTCATCCAGCCAAATGCTGCTAATGTCTAATGTCTGCTGCTGAGGATGCTCTGTGATCCAATGGTAAAGGGCTGGGGCAAGTTGGGTCCACCTGTCCTGTAGCTACTTAAGTCAGGACACTAAACCAGACAGGATTAAATGCCTGCTCTGTCATATTTGGGGTAGAAACCTCCATGCAGCCGCTCGCTGCCCTGCAGGAGAATGTCGTTTTACTGATAGCTCTGCTGTCCAATTACACTTCACCTTTTAATACCAGACACAGATGACAGGGGGGAGAGAGAGAGAGAGGATGAAGACGAGGCCAGTGGGTGACGAGAGAAGGAGCCTGCAATTTCTACTGTCTGCAAGAACAGCTTGTCACCCTTCAGTAGATTGTAGCTGCATTTTCTCAGTATTTGGACATCTGATGGGTCTAATAAAATAGTGTTTAAGCTGCAACACCAACCCTCCACTTACTCCTAGTAAGTGAGACTCAAGGCCAATAGTGCCAAATAAAGTATACGATGTGTGTGTGTGTATGTGTGCAATTAATACAAGAACAGAAAAAAAAAACTTAATCCAGTGTATCACAGCGTGACATCTAAGAGTGAGAGTAACAGTCTGTCTGGGATGCGCTTGACTGTGCTTGAGACATCAATAGTCTCTTGCGTTAGACTGTTAAATTATGAGTGAAGGATGCTTGCTCTGTTAACAGACATGGTCCTACATTCTCGGTGAGCAGTGTGTGCACGTCTCTATCGCGCGCACAAAGTGCAACCAGTTAAATATATGGTTATACATTTAGAATGATCAATAGGCACAGGTTATGTGATTTTTCCAGTGCCAAAAGAAAGGAGCAATTACATTTAGGTACAAATTTCTCCCTACATTACATCTGAAACAACACAGCACGATCCATCAATCAAGCAACTGCACGTAAGAAATAAACATATATTACACACACGCACGCGCACACACAAATCTACCTGTCATGTTGTAAATGTGCAGCTTTATGTGTGGTATGCCACATTTACTGTGTATTTGATGGGACGTGCACATACCACAAAGGCACAGATGCTCCTCTGCGGAGAGTCCCATTCGAAGCAGCTGTTTATGTAGCAGCCCGCGTTGATCAGGACCATGATGCAGCGTCTAACTCGGGTGAAGTTGCGCAAAAGCAACTGGGCGAAAAACAAAAAGGGAAACAACAAAAAGTAAAACGTTTATGCAGGCGAAGGTTTAAAGGTCAAAAATGTGCTAAACCGAGGAACGGATCATGGGGTTGTAAACATGCTGTGCGTGATTTATTGCTTCACTGTGAAAATGGTATATCCGGTATGTAAACAACCAGATGGGGGAACGAGGCTCGGCGTGACAGGTAGATGTGTTGGAAATAAAACGGGAGCAAAACGATCCATCTAAGCACAGCTGTCAGAGTCCCGCTGATAAGACACTTGAGGTGACGTAGTGTTATAGGGGGTCACTTTTCTCTCTCATTTACATTTAGTTAAGGTGAGAAATTACCACCATTTAGCAAAAAACACCAAAGTTTTTTCAAGTTATGTTAATCAGCACCATAGCTGATTAACAACATACTGTTATTAAGTCTTAATAAGCGATCTTCTAGCCCAAAGTGTCTCATTGTACTGTCTTTGTAAAATTAAATGAAGCCGTCGACGGTTGCATCTTTGACCTCACTTTGGATTCACTATTACATCACAGTACTTAAGAGCACCCTGAGGATGCCGATGTGATGTCTCTACTTAAATAGCAATATACGTTTTGGCATGGATCGGCCACCACTGCGAGCTAACTCACAGTGTTTGTTTAACTCTGTTATCCTAGTGATAAAGTTTAGCACAATAATAAAATAAAAAGAAAATCCAAAGCAGTCCCTGGATTCTCCTCCCTGGGCGTTCTCCAGGCATTTGGCCAGAGATGAGATAGAACTGGCTAACTGCTGTCTCCCCCTGGGTTGCCAGCCATTCAGGGAATAGCATAACAGCAAGAACGCCAACCACCCAATCAGGTCACCAACAGGGGAAAGTGCTCCCACAGGAAAAAAAAACTGTCGCTTCAGTTTGCACTTAAAAATATTCCAGGGCATTCTTTTACTCCTTGGGAAATTGTGTGTGTTTTAATGTGTGTGTAAAGTGGGTATATAATATGTGTCTGCAGCACTATAATAAGGATTTTCATGTGTTCGGTGGCTTCAGTTTATTGATGCTAGCGGATTTGAACTCTTTTGCACTCTGTGTCAATATTTATTGCCAAACTATGGTTAGGGTTACTTTGTGTCCACATCAGCGAGCTCAGAGTTCAAATCATCCATTTGCACATTCTTCAGCATGTTTACTTTATGTACATGTTATACTTTTCTTTGCTATAACACCAGACAGGGATTATTCATTTTTTATTATGTCAATCCCAGTCTGTAGTTATTTTTTCGATCACTTATGAAAGTGGATAAGTCATCGGTTATGTTAAAAGCCATAATTAGAATTAAATCTTGTCTTTGATGTCAGGCAGCCTGTGTGTGTATGTGTGTATTTTATGTTATTTTTAGTGCGTGTCTACTTATTGAGCAGCAAGCAACAGCAGGGGAGCTGCTACCACACAAAAGAGTCCTCAAGGGGCAATCCCTCCAAAGAAGCGAGTGACATCATCATTGCGAGATGCTGACATGGGTCATCTCTGTGAGTCAGGGGTGAAATGCAGATAAAAAAAGCTCAGAGTGGGCCAAGATGGGAATCATCAGAAAAAGCAAAGGCAGAAACAGTGAGGAAAAGAAGGGAATAGATGGAGGGCTGACAAAAGGGTGGTGTGGGAGCTGGTGTCTGTGTTGTGCTATGTTAGGCAGGGCTGTGCTCGGCTGTGCGTGGTGCAACACTGACTGCTGAGCCCAAACGGTCACTCATATGACACGTCTGATGCGGGCCAGCCCCTACTATTCATCTCTTTGTGGTGCCGCCACACTGAGCAGCGTGACAATGAAGTGCAAAGCAGCAGTGGCAAAGAGGGCCAACTATAAGGATGGCCAATCTACTTATGCACCCCAGAGCTGACAGCTTGACATTTCTATTCACCACTCAGAGTGGATGCGAGGGGGTAGAGATGAGAGAAGAGGGAGAGGAGGAAAGGGAGGAGAAAAAAAAGAGAAACAAAATGCTGTTTTTCCTTCAATCATCCTGTTGTATCTTGCCCACACAGTTGTTGTGCTTTACAAGATGCCACTCACCAGGGTTGTTGGTTTTGCTTCAGACAGTTAAGCAGAATAGGGGGTGCGGTGGTGGACACAGATAAAAATAAGGCGGAGTGGTAGAAGACACAGTTTGGCTCATGATGTACCTGCTTGGA